CAAATTAAGTTCTAGGAGACCATGCACCAAATAAAGGAAAGAAAAAAAGAAATCTTACCCAGTTTTCATGAGCTTTCTTCTCATGGGTAGCTATCTGAAAAAGATAATACATCACAAAATATGCTTACAGATTCATTATAGTAACCTGTATTAATTATCAAAGAATTCTGGGCACTAAATGGGAGACTAGAATAATTACCTGGTTTTTAAATAATCGCTCTGTTTTCTGTAATTCATTCTCCATTTCTTCTATTCTCCGCCTAAGAATTACACTTGGCTTTATGAATTAAAGCACAACCAAATAAAAACCCAAACAATATGACTATGTTAACACTTACCCTAACAACCTACCCTAATAGAGCTACTTTAACTGTTCCTAAATATGTTTCTCAAATAATCTTGTTATCTTCCACCATAAACCTTTTTTTTCCCCTTTTTTCATCCTTTAACTATATCATAAAAAAATTCCCAAAGTTAGGACTACTGGGTCTATCAAATGGCAAAATCATCTTAATGGCTTTGGATACATCATACAACAAACTGCCCCCCTCCCCACCCCTACCCCCAGAACTGTTTGCATGAACCAAGTTCCCTTACAGTTTTGCCAGCACTGGGTATTTGTTAATGTTTTTCCATTTGTTAGCTTAAAAGTTTTTCTTTTGCATGAATTTATGTATTCATGTCCTCTAACCATTTATTTATGCTTTTGTGCCAAAAGAAACTTAGTTTCATTAGCCAGTGACACTGTCTTTAGAGGGTGAACTTACTTGTAAGTTTTTACTTCCTCTGCAGCCAAATCTGCCTTTTCATCAGCAGCTGATAGCCTCTGCTCTCTTTGTTGTCGCTCATACTCTTCTTGACTTAATTTCCTAAGATAAAACTGGTGGTCAGTGAAAGTATTTCTCTTTTCCTCCTGGCATTCTGTCTGAATGCTCTATTAAAATGTCACTTCCTATCCTATTTTTAAAAATGCACAGACTATAAAAAGTCATAGGAAGGAATTCAAACTGTCTTTTAGGATAAAAATCCAACTGTGGCCTGTTGATACATCACCTGCATTTTCTAATGTCTCATAACTCTTTCCTTACTAGTAAGTAAATGTAATAAAAAGCACCATGTGTCCCATGGGAAAGACTGTTGTGTTGAAATGATGAATGCTCACTTTTCTTCAATGTAGAAAGCCAGGACTGATCAACCTAACACAGTTAAGCTTATTAGGATAAAACAGGAGATAATTACTTCTCTTATTTGTAACCATGGGAAAACCACTAATTAATTTTCTTATGGGCTGTTTCTCAATCCAAGACTGGTACCATG